ATAATTATCGAGGTCACCTTTCCCCACAGCTGGATAGCTTCCCCACACTCTGTACGGAGGTGTTCCAGCACACGCAAATGAAGCAGAACTGAATGTATAAACAGTGGCCTACAGATAACATGAAGGTAATGATGGAGTGAAAAATTCCATGGAAATAGCTGATATCGAAAAGAACAGGGAACAGCGCCCACACTCCACCACCTGCAATTTTAGAAAACATGTCAACATGAAAAATAAAAGAAGAACAAAATCTATCTACTCGACCCCTAGAACACACAAAACAATGCAAATTTGGTAACACGGTCCTGAATCCCAAAAAGAAGCTATTAACTCCCCCATTGCAGTTTTACATTTTGCAATTAAGTAAATTTTCTTGATCTTCTTTCATGGAAATATTTTGACCATTTCCCATACAGAAGATATTATAGAAAAGTGAACCTAAAAATACCTAATGCCTAAGTAATTGGGAGGGGGGAATGTCAACAAATGTGCAAGCAAAATGGAGAGATATTCCAAAACGAATTATGCGAAGAACGAGTACATACATATCAAAAATAGCATAAACATGAACAGGATACTGACTAAGCAGCGATCCCGCAAGCGTCTCAACCAAAAGTATTTGCTTTCACGTTTCCCCGCATTCTGATTTGTTAAAGCTCCACACCAACCACACTTGAAAATTGGAGCATTTGATGGAAGAACAAGGTGTAATCCACAACCCCAACACGTGACGTCATAGTCGTCCTTGATGGATGCTATAAAATGCTCCTACATGTAACCCACAAGTAAGCAACCAAGACAAAAAAATTCAAACTTGCACAACCAGTAAGATCCATGTTCCAGCTTTTCATCAACACATTCGCAGCCGGACAACCGAATCCTTTGTTAGGTTCTCTGTTTTATGGAAACCGAATAATCTAGCACAACTTATTTCTTGCAACATGAATGCCAATCATTCAAAAGCAAAAACAAATTTAACAAATGAATGTTCACAGAAAAGCACTTTTACCAAATAATCAGGCAAGAATTGTTATTGCACTCGGTCTAAAAACAACCAAAACAAAAGTTAAAAGAAATAAACAGATAGATAAGCTTAAGCGCTTCCAGCATCCGATTACCATTTAGCTTTTGGAGAGAGAGGAAAATCAATAAATATGAAGAACAGGGACGGAAAAATGCAAAAGAAACATACCAATCAATTCGGTTTTGGTCAATTATTATCTGATTAAACTACAAGAAAAAATCTGATTAAGTTTTGCACACGATAGAAAAAGAAAATTACAAAATTACAAAAGAAGAAGAACAGAACGCGTGGGGAGACAGGAGAAGAGTTTGACCTTGGGCAAGTCGGCCATGGTTGGCATTGCCGTTGGAGCAGCTTCAGAGGATACGGAGATTGAAATTGCCATGTAAGTGTAACTGCAGCTGAACCGGAATCGAACCCCAATTCTGCAATTTCAAGGGCTCCTCCTCCATTCCAGAATTCACAGACCGACCAATATTTGATCGATTGATTGGAGAATGTTAGTGCCAAATCGAAGGAAGACACTTACCGGAAACTTTTTCATCATCATTTTCTTGTCGCGTTTAACCGGGTCCAACTTCCAAACCGGCCAGCCGAACCCCCAATCACCCGCTTTGGACTCCCAGTTTTTCCTTTTTGGGTAAGATTTTGAAATTTGGGTTCTAGTTTTGAACTTGGGTAGCGCCAATCGTCGGGCCCAAATCATGTCCACCCAACTTATTTGGGTTATTTATAAGAGGTGATTTTCTCTTACCGAATCGTTTTAATCCCAAAAACAACATATTTTGAAGTGACTAAAAATGTTCCTTCGAGAGCGTCCAAATAAAATTGGAACGATACAAAGAATTGTTTAAGAACCCTCGGGCACCACTTCCTTAGAGCAACTCTAGCGTGAGGAAGGGCTTTAGGGCAACTTCTTATTCAATCCCCTCCAATGAATAATAACTACCTTTAATAAACAGTAATTGTCTTTTGCATCTTCACTCCTAACTAAATAGCCATGGCAATAGGTAATAAAATATTAGTATTTTTTATTTTATAAAAAAAAAATTATTTGTAATTTCGGATAGGATTTTTAATCGGTATTGTTGTACCACGTGTCATTAAATAAGAAATTACAACCCAAAGTATTTGATAAAATATAAAATTGTGGTGTAAGTTGGAAGATAATGATAACATATTTATAGAAAAATTAAATCTTTTTTTTTATTTATTTTTTTAAAATTTTTGGATTTTTTATTAATTTTTTACCTTTTTATTAAAATTTACATTTTTATTAATATTTTTTATTAATTTTAAAACATGGTTGATGTCAACCAAGCATCACACACCCTCGGGCTCTCGAGCCACCAATTTGAGCTGGGCCTCTCACTCGGGCCCCCTGCCCAATCGCCCTATGGGCTGGAAAAGGTAGCTGGGGTTATTGAGTCATCAAAGTTACCGGTCCATTGGGCTCTAGCTCTCGCTTGAGTTGCTCTTAGAAGCTAGTTTTAAAGGCCAAGTTGAGCTCCGACAGAATGAATGAGTTGCACAAGAATGTCAATCAAATTGTCCTTTTTAAAAGTTGTTTGTACGACTTTTGTCCGTTTAGTTTTTAGGGTCCTTTCAAAGAGTGGATGGAATTCTTTCAAATGAATAGGTTTACTCAAAAGAAATAAAACATATGCAGAATAGTCAAATACAAAGTCCACTTTCAAGAGATATACCAAAAGAAAAGTATTAACAAAACACAAAAAAGTGTTTAGCACAATATTTGTGTTGCTTCATTTGCGTTTGAGAGCAAGAAACAACTGGGTTCCTTCTTTGCAGCTGGATTTTATTTTGTTAATAAGTTCTTCATTTTTTTCATAAACCCTATCAAACACTTGGTCTGTTATCTTAGCTCCAAAATGCGTTTTGAAAACTCCCTCCATGCCAGCTCTGAGCTGCATTGTGAGTCCTGGTCCATTGATCATATGACCGGCTTTTAACCATGGGCTTGTCGACTCAATTCTCGCTATGCTGAAGCATCCATTTCTTTCGATCACGTCCATCATTTCCTTCGGAGTTGCGTTGTATGTTGGAATGTTGAACGAGTCCACCTCTCCTTCGCTAATCAATCCCTACGAGTCGAGTGTTACAAAACAAACATAGAGGAAGTTAGGTGTGTTGCAAGAGACATATGCATTGTCATAACCAACTGACCTAATTCTCTTTTGTTTAATTTTTCTAATCAAACACATAAGAGTTGCTAACTGACTTACTTCCTTGGCAATCTCCATGAGAGTAGACCCCAGAAAATCAAACATGATGCCATTTGGAATCTGAGATGGAGGGGTCCCATTTGGGATGGCTTGCATGATTATCACCATCATTCCACCCACCACAAGCTCTTTAGCCCGAGCTTCCAAGAATGCTGCCATGTCTTTACCAAATTGGGCTGCATAAGCATCAACTACTTCATCAGGGGAAGTCGTGTAGTAAATCTTCCCTCTGTTCCACGCCGGAGAGTTCTTGTCTACCACTTGCTCCGGTACCTTAGAGAGCCAGTGAGCTGCATACGAAGAATGCACGAAATGGAGCGAGGACTTGGGGAATAACTGGCCGTGGAAAGACCCCGGCACGCCAGCTGCAAAGTACTGCCTTTCCGGAGGCAAAGACGCAAAAAGGGTGTTGAAATCGTTGGCTACATGATCGCTGAAGAATACTTGGAATTCAGGCATTTGGGAGGAGATGCATTGGGATTGGTACTTGTGTTTCACTGCTTCCAGAATGTTTTGGACGCTAAAGAAAGTGTTTGGTCCAACAGAACATCCCAAATCTGCTATCCGAAATGCGTTGGTTGGATTGCAAGAAAAGTCCTCTATGTCAAGCTTCTCTGTTATTGCATCATCAAGTAGACTCCTTGAAACATTTGCAGCAGCTCTCTGCACAGTATAAAATATAGTTTGTGTCAACAAAACCTCTTACAATATTTTCTATTGGAAGAGCAAGGCAAAAGTTCATTTATTCATAAGAATCAAAATTCGAAACGCGAATGCATATTAGTCAAGTTTGCTAGAGCAGTGTGCTCTTACCTACACCCAAGTTTGAATCTCCCAACCCCCTAATATAAATAAATTTAACGCAGATTATCCTATCGTTTTTTAACATGAAAATTAGGAACATGAATAACTACATGAGTTGATAGAACTGAAGGAACCTGGAAATAGGAGTTTTTGGTGTAGCTGTATGCGCCATCTCCACCGTTCATCGGATATGCTTCCGGCACCGTGGTTCCGTTGCTGCTCATCTTCAACCCTCTCTCTCTCTCTCTCTCTCTCTCTCTCTCTCTCTCTCTCTCTCTCTATCTCTCACGAATTGTGCAGGTTGTCAGTGATAGATATCTGCAATTTATAGCGCACACGCACACTCATGATGACGTCCAGTTGACTGTTATTATGGAGTAATTCGGATGGAAAAATGGTTCCATTTGTTTTATTTGGAGTAGTTTTCTTCATGTTTTTAACGTGTGGACCATCTTCTTTGACAAATATGACATCTCCATCTATAATTTATTTGCCAAACGACGTCATGTATAACGCAAACTCCGAAAGAAAGGTAAACGAAAAATAAATAATCAACAAAAATTAATATAAGCTATTTTTCTCGCCGCCCTCTCACGAATAGAAGGGAAATTTCGGTACGACGCTTGACTAGAGTACTTCTCACTCTAAGTAGAACCACGATAAGGTTAAGTCATAAGTGGACCGAAACAAATTAAAGTCTCATTATTTTGTGAAGACATTATAGATGACATAATCGGACGGTTTTCTCGGTACCATCGACATCGAGGTGAAATACCAACCAAAATGTCTCTGTATTGATCGTTTTCGGGACCAGTATTCAATGGCATGAAGCTTTAGTGGCGCCGCCTCGACGCATTCCCCTCTCTCCCCGGCATCGTCCCACACAGAAAGAAAGTGCATCGAAATGAACCAAATTTCAGAAATAGATCGATTAAATTCTCATGAGGGTTTTCTATATAAATAAATTCTCATGAATGTTACATCCAAGTCAAGCCTGTAGTTCGATTAGTAACATAATGAACTAAAAATTCTAATATTTTTACAGTATTTTGCACGTAAGATGTTACAAACATGTCAAATTGTTTTGTGTGCAGACCTATTTCTCTCTAAAACCTCCTTCAGCGCTTGCTCAACCAATTTCCTCTGTGCGATGCTCCGAAAACTCTATCACGTCGAAAAACTGTCAACCCGATGGCCAATCTAAATGCCTCGTACCATCATCACTCAAGTCCCAAGCTCCTTCAGCAATCTCATCAAAGAGTTGGTCCCAACCCCAACTTGAATACCCATAGAAAAACCAGTAGTCGCTGACAGATTGATTTCCTAACTTGATCTCTTCGACTTTACGAAATGTTGCTGATTGATCAAGAAAGTAAACACCCGGCAGGACTTCCGGATACTCATTCATAACAAATCTTCGAGTTAATGCGACAAGAGGCATTCCAACCTTTATAAGTGGTCCTCCAAAAGACAGAGGAGCCTCAGATAGCATCTCCAGCCCTTTGTCCAATTCAAGAAGAACATCCCATTTGATATTCTTGTTAATAATCAGACCTTCAAATCCAGAAACTCGATCTGCCTTGACGATAAGGACCTCTGATTTATCAAAGGGATGTACAGTAAGAAGTTTATCAGTAGCAACTAAAGTGGAACCGGTCACCACACGCAGGGCTGCTTCCTGCAAACCTTGTGATGTGTGTGATTCGGGCTGATTGTCTCTAATGCCTTGTTTATGCGTCTGTGTTAAAAGTATTTCATGAAGTGTGTCCTTTTCAAAGGGAGCTCCCTCGTGAATGTCAGAAGACTGGACCTTAAATAAATTTTGATTCCTTCCCCACTTTTTTGCTACAGTCCATAAGCTTCCTACAAAATCATCAACAAGTAGACGACTTAAGTCTTGAACAAGGAAAATTACTATAAGAAGTTAAGGACCCATAAGCATTAGTAGTATAAACATCGCACATTAAATTGAATTACCCTTCTCACTGATAAGATCATCCGAGTTACTTCCATGATCGGCCATAAACTTGAAGATTTCAGTGACTGCCATATCCCCTTCATAAAGGACAGCATTCTTCTTTTCAGCTGGAAAGAGCAGCAGAGCAGGATAAACTTCCCTCTGCTTTTCCAACAAAGGTATGAGCACAAAAAAGACACGAATTACACACATTCAAGAACAATTTTTAATTAATCGTTGTTCAGAAATAGGTTACCGAACATACGCTACTTAGAAACGTAGAAATGAAACTACAGAAATAACAATAAAAGCCAGCTGGGTTAAAAGATACATATTCACGCTACTATAAATATATACGAGAAATATTTGTGCATTCCACAAGACACACCTGATTCATTGATTTCAATATCACACTGCAATCATTCAAGGTGCAGTCAAGCAAGTATAATAATGGAAGCTTCAGCATTTCATCCTTCAAGTCACCTGTCAGATATAGCCAATCATATGAATATAGGACCAGTAAGACAAAAAGGCCTAAACATGGCGATTACATTTTATATAACCCATATTTATAATATTATTAGAATGCACTTACCATCGTGAAACCTTGTTTTCTCATTCTTTGATCCACTTTTCAGCATCTTAATATAGTCCTTCATAGCCCGATATACTTCACGAACAACCAATTCCATTCTCTGGCAAAATCCACACCATCTATTGCTAAAAAGGACCAAGACATCCTTATTCCAAGCGTCAGTGTCAGATTGATTAAACCCAATCACCTGCTTGATGAAGGTACGACTTGTAACTCGAGGGACAGAATCCACTTCACGAAAATCTAGATTAACAAATGGTGGTTGAGTGGCCTCCCTAGAGCTTTGAAGAACAGATTCAGACTGTTGATATGGAAGAAGACTTCCATTAACAAACCCAGAAAGAAAATTAGCCAGTGAAGAATAGCTAAGATCAGTCTCTTCTGAGAAGACAAAATGTTGCTGGGCAATGGGATCAACTATCACCAAGGCAGGAATTTTTGATCCACCAGTGAGACTATTAAGTAATCGATAATTACCATCAGAAAAGAAAAAAGAGCCCTCAAAACCTTGAAAGCGAAGCTGTTGCTCCCCTGATTTGTCTTCCTGTGAAGAACTTTCTTCATCGACCTTTATATCTTCAGTACTATCAAGTTTATGATCTGCAAGATGTTGTTCACTATCTGCAGATAAGAACTGCTTACTTGTACCAACATATGCTGTTTTCTCTTCATCAGTCTGAGAAAAGATTTCAGAATCTGTGACTTCGGAAGTTTCCAGATGCTCTTCAGCAGATACACTAGTCCTGTGTGGCAATTGATCCTTGTCTGAGTTAACACTACTTGTCACAAGGCCTTCCTTAGACAGCTCTTCTGTAAGTTGATCAGACTGAAGTTCTTTCTGCACTGGCAATGTATTCACTAACTTGATGTCCATGTCATCTGATAAAAGTTGGAAACCTAACTCTTTTGCAAGCGAGCTTAATTTAGCTTTGTTCTTTTGCTTAAGTACGATATCCAAGATCTCCTTCAAGGAACCACCCTGTAGATCCAAAGCTATATTATCCAAAGTGACTTGTTTTCCTTCATTTACAATCATGAAAGTAGACGTTTTGTCTTTTAATTTGATTGTCTGAGACAACTTTAGTTTTGGATATCCAGATGTACTCCTTAATGCTTGATAATCTTGGACCGAGGGTTTCTCAGACTTGTCTCCATATTGCCCACCACTTTGGCGTGAAATATGATAGTGCAGTGCCAGCTCTCGAAAAGAATCAAGAGCTTTCTTACATTTTATTCTAGTCTCTGACAAGTCAGATGATCTATCCACAAATAGGAGTGCTGATGGTTGGTTTGCAGGTAAAGAAGGCTTCAAAGTGTTTCCAAGACCTTCTAACTACAAAATATTATGGATCAATTTTTTCACTGCTAAATTTAATAATAAAGTGAGCTATCCACAATAAATTATAAAAAGAATTAGTATAGCACAAAGAAAAAAGAAGTAAACATGCAGGATGAGATACTATTGACCGCTGTTTTAATCCCTTAGCATGCGTGGAACCTAAACATGGAACTACTGCCCTATTCATGCACCAATTTTTATATGTATGTATAAGTTAATCGAAAGTATGTTTAGTAATCCAAAGGGAAGAATAGATAACTCACCTCCGTAACAACCAAATTATCCATCTGTAAAGCATTTTTGAGGTCCTCCTCTTTCTTAATAATCTTTGAACAACCGGGGCATCCAGATAAGTACAGGACTGCCAACCATGTACTGGAATCTTCAATCCCAAAAGTTGAGAGCATCGATCTTTCTGAGACCAGACCAAATTTATACCTTTCAGGAGGTAGAAAGAACTCCCGTGCAACGGTTGTGAACTTCGAGAGGAAAGAGTCAAACAGCTGATATTCTTCACGATTACAGAATGAGCTCATTTGCTCAGACTCCACAAAAGAAGCACTGTCATTTACCGAGCTGAAGTCCCCAAGCCAAGGAACACCACCAAGCCCATAATCAACACCGCACATCTTTGCACTTTCAATACCCTGCTTTTTCCCAAAAAGAAAACAGCAGCAAACTATCACTAAACTTGTGCTTCTATATTTCATCACATAAATTAGTATCATAACAACAATGGCAGTTCGAAACTACCCGCGACCTTCTGGATAGTCTTCCCCAAGTGTGCTGGTGATCTACTCGCCTCTCCGCTGATGTTGAATCCAAGAAAATTCCCTGCAAATAAAAATTCTTATCAATTAAAATCTAATCGAAAACACCCAACGAGGCCTTAAAGTTTAAACCTTTACCTTGCAGAGCAAAACCGTTTCGATCGGTTCCATTATTCTTCCTCCTGGCAAGCAATTTTGAAGTCCATTCGCAAAACTCAAACAGAATCAAAGCTTTGTCAGTTGAATCAACGAACTCTTTCAATTTCTCCGGAGTTTTCAGGGACTTGAACGGAAGCTCTTCTGGTCCAACCACCACATACGGACGGAGCGAGGCCAATACATTTTGCGCCCTAAGTCTTCCGCCATACTTGTAAGACACAGAATTGTGATAGTACAAAACTGTTGTTCCCTCTGCTTCCGTGGCAGCTCCAATGGCGTCCGCCAACACCTTCTCTGCGTTTCTGTACATAAACCTCAATCTCAATGAGCTGAAATCTTCATGATTATCGGTAACCAATCGAGCCACATCTCTCATGAGCGATCGAGATTCTCCCGACCCTGCGCGGCATTTCAAGATTAACTCAGAATAATTAATTAACATAAACTCGTGATTAGAGATTAATAACTAGGATTATGATTTGAGAGAGACGGAGAGAGATTACATGGGAGAGTGACGATGAGGAGGATGTGAGGGTGGAGGCGGATCTGGGAGGAGAAATTTTGCTTTGTCAGGAGTTGCCATTCGCCTACGCCGTCTGATTTAGTTTCAAAGGCTGGGATTGCTGCCGCGAGGAATATCCAGCAAGCTAAGAACACCACTTTCTTATTCTTCGTCGTCATCGTCGTCGTCGTCGTCACACTCTCTCAGAGGATCACCGCGACTGTGCGGAATACACTTCCAGTCTTTCAACCGCCGACCCGATTTCCTTTCCCCTAAAATTCAGCCGAATGAAAATGGGCTTGCGAGTCGGGTATTGGGTATGGCGGGTCGGCCACCAAGCTGATCAATTAATTATTTTGGGCTGAGTCGGGTAGGCTTAAGATGAGAGAGGCGAGTCTGAAGCCCAGCTTAACCGGCCCATACTAATTTCTTCAATGGTAATCCAAAGATGAGCAAAGATTTATCGATGGTTAAAGGCCGAGTAATTATCCGATACTGCATTCTTTGTGATGATCCGTGTCGAATCTACAGTTTTTCACCGGACTGCCGGCAATGATGAGTGCTACTTGATTTAGGGTTTGAGCATTGGTGACAGACATAAGGTATAATTCTCAAGGTCGCTTTTGTTACTTTCAGCACAAGCATATGGTGGCTGATAGTTAAATTTTTTTTTATATCATTAAAAAAATGAGCATAACCATCCATAAGCATCACGGGTAGCCTAGTGGCTGAGACGAGTTCTGGATCTGTATTTCATATAACACGTTATGAGTTCAATTTCTAATGCTGGCAAATCACACGATGATGCCATGGAGATGCTGAAATGTCTCTTTGAGTCTTCCTAATCCTTGGAAGAGTGCATTGCCATGATAAAGCCACAAGCTGACCACTAGTTCGTAATTCTTTTAAAAACTCTCTTATAATTAGGATTGAATACCCTTAATTCGTAATAACATATAACAAATTTTCATAATCTCAATTGATGTATGATTGAATGCTTGGATTCGTAATAAAATAAAATCTCAATTAAATACATTCACATAAAAATTTGGAATTGTGCAAGTTATGTAATCAATAGTAATAAATTGCGGATGAAAAAAAATGGAAGATTAATGCTAGGTTAGGTAAACTAAATTTATAGAAAAAATTTGCAAACTAAACGATACTAAAAAAACACTTATGCATGAGTGCTTTTATTATAGAAATATTGAAATTTGTTTTAAAAATTAAGTGGTTGGTAAAGAAATTTCTAACATCGGTTTCTCTTGCCAATATTATTACGACTAAGTTTCAATTTTCATTCTAAACGTAGTCATACTATTTTTGTAATTATCAAAAAACACGCTTAGTTATTTTTTAATTAATCCTAATAGATTCTTATACATCCTTAATTAATCGTTAGCATAAATTATTCTGGCCAACTTACCTAATTTTTATATTTTACAAAAGGTAAAACGAGGCATATATTCAACCATAAAAAAGGCATAGATTCAACCAAAAAAAGAGGCATATATTCCACACCACGTAACAAAAGGGTTGCGTTACCACATAACCCAATAGAAAAGAGATGAATGAGGAGTGGATTCCGTGAGAAAGGAATAGTAGCCTTCCGCTTCCTTCACCTCTTACAACCTTACTCTCGTTTCACTTCTCCCTCTGCTCCCGTTCATTTCCCGCCGCCGCTCCTCTCTAGCTCCCTCCTCTCTCGCAGTCGCCCCCTCGCGGCGGGCTACAGCTGCTATTCATCCTCCGCGACGTCCTCGTCTCCCTCCGCCATGGCGGGCGGTGAATCGCAGGAAGTGGAGTGGCCGGCGAAGCGCGTCAGGGACACCTTCGTCAAGTTTTTCGAGGACAAGGACCACGTCTTCTGGAAGTCTAGCCCCGTCGTTCCTCACAACGATCCCACTCTTTTATTCGCCAATGCTGGTTCGTCAATCCCGATTTCAATTCCGCTTTTATTAGTATTTTTATTTTTTTGAGTTTAGTTGTTACTGGATTTTACTGTGGCGGAAAACGAATCAGGCAGTTCAGTCCCGTCTTATATTTTTAGGGTTTTGTGCGAGTATTGTTTTATTCCATGTATTTGTTCATTCGCTTGATTCAAGTTGATTGTCATGAGATCCTGATAATCGATTCGGGTAGTTCAATCCGTGCTGTGTTTTAGTTTCTTAATTTCCATGAAATTTTCTGGTTCGATTTCATAGAAAATTTGCCGGCACAGCTCTTGGTTCTGGTCAACTGCCCGGCCATCTCTTTAGCTCATGCTCATCTATTGTCAACGCTAGCAGTTTTTAATAAATGATGCCATTCCCGACTCAGGGAAGTGAAGCTCAATTTCTATTCATTAGTTCACCGCTGAGATGTAGAACTGGATCGTATATGGGGTCCAGAGATTTTCAATCTGGAATTATCTTATATATATATATATATATTATTGCAACCCTTCTTACTTCTTAGTGATAAATTATTCGACAGACACGCACTATGGGACTCCATAAAATAAATTGTTTGAGACTTAGGACCTGAGTCGGGAAAAAGGGCGCAGTCACAGGTAGGAATTTGTTGATCAATGGTCCTGCTATCCTCCATTTGCGCCCACTGAAGGGGGTGGGTTTTGGGCAAATATGTTGAATCTTTGGTTTACTTTTCCAGTAACCAGACAGTGTATATCTTTGTTAATTAGCTTGATTGTTTATGGAATCCCATGTTGTGTTTTAGTTTCTTTTAATTTCAGGGTTTTGTGCCATTATATTGAATATTTGATAGTTCTCCCACCCGCCAAATAGAGTGTATATTTGTTGATAAGCTCGATTGTATTCATGTTTCGAATGAATAGGTATGAACCAGTTCAAGCCCATTTTTCTGGGGACAGCAGACCCAAACACTCAGTTGAGCAAGCTGACTCGAGCATGCAACACCCAGAAATGTATAAGAGCAGGCGGGAAGCACAACGATCTCGATGATGTAGGGAAAGACACTTACCACCATACCTTCTTTGAGATGCTCGGCAATTGGTCTTTCGGGGATTATTTCAAGAAAGAAGCCATTGGATGGGCTTGGGAGCTTCTCACAAAAGTAAGCAGATTTCACCCAATTTTAGTTCTTCACCACCAGTAACTATATTAGCGCTGATAATTTTACTATGACTCTTGACGTATTGATATGCAGGTTTATAAGCTGCCAGAAGATCGAATTTATGCCACCTATTTTGGTGGTGATGAGAAGGCTGGTCTTGCTCCTGATGATGAAGCTAGAGAGTTATGGCTTAAGTTTCTACCTGCCGGCCATGTACTACCATTTGGCAGTAAGGTATGCTATTCTTCAAATATATATATATTTATTTTTTTTAATTTATAACAGTTTTGTAATGATTATTTATCAGGTTGATATGACCTTATCTAATTGGTTTTATCATTGTTTTTGTTATTGTTTCTCTCTCCACCAAATAGGATAATTTCTGGGAGATGGGCGATACGGGTCCTTGTGGTCCTTGCACAGAAATCCATTACGATAGAATAGGAAATCGTGATGCTGCATCATTAGTCAACAACGATGATCCTACCTGCATTGAAATTTGGAACCTTGTCTTTATTCAGGTCTAACTTTGACATCATATCTTATGGATCTTTGTATATGGATTAGCATTTATTTTATATAGGTCCAGAAAATTGGCATTGAAAACTGGAATTGTGTTCTTAATGGTTTATATTTAATGGCACAACATCTAAAATTGCAATATAAGCGCCACATTATTTTATTTCTTTGCTTTCTGGTTTATTTTTTGGACAATTAATTTAGTGAACTGTATTTGTTCCTTGATTACTCCAACAGTTCAATAGGGAAAGTGATGGTTCTCTAAAACCGCTCCCTGCTAAGCATGTTGACACTGGGATGGGATTTGAAAGATTAACTTCTATACTTCAGAACAAGATGAGCAATTATGATACTGATGTGTTCATGCCCATCTTTGATGCTATCCAAAAGGTGGGATGTCAATTTCTTTTAGGGTCCTCTCAAAGCACAATACCTTTACTATCTAGAGAAGGGTGCAAACCCAACTACATAGAGTATATAGAGAGACACCTACACAGTACAGAAAAAGAAAAAGAATCATATTCTGTTATTGACATTGCTTTCATGTCTCCAATATTTTTATAGGCAACAGGGGCTCCACCATATTCTGGGAAAGTTGGTGTGGATGATGTAGACAAAATTGACATGGCATACAGAGTTGTTGCAGATCATATTAGAACTCTTTCATTTTCCATTGCTGATGGGTCTCGTCCAGGTAGGCAGACGATAGTTAAACATACGCTACCTTCTACTCTACTGAAGTTGAGGCCATTGGTGTCTGCTTCCCACTGGGTAAACAGAACTCCATATATGGTACACGGTTGTGAGTTATTGGTTGTGGTTGGTCTACTTATTCATTACTTTGCTCATCGTCTTTTGGCTCTGTTTCGTCGGCGGTGTTTGGCTCCATCTTATTTGTAGAGATATTATAGTTTACACTGAAGGCTTATGCCTTGTAGTTTTTAAACGAGTTGGAAAGGGTATATTCTTTTTAGATAGTGACTAATCAGACTTCTAATGAGTGAGAAAATATGTCAAGATGCTCATATGTGCAATAGTCTTCATATTTTTGAGCAAACTAAATAGTCGTCATATTTTTGGGAAAACTGTGATGCAGAGCTCTGGGTTTTCTCTGTTTTTTAGTTGGTAGTGATAGTTTATTGGCTACGTCTTACATTAAGATATAATGTTTTTGAGTTGTTTAATACTTTCTTAACCTTTTTTGGTGGAGTAATTTTAAAAGTGTACCTTATGAGTTTCTACTTATGTCAGGCAATGACGGCCGCGAATATGTTCTGAGGCGCATTCTTCGTCGTGCTGTTCGGTATGGAAACGATTTACTAAAAGCTAAAGAAGGATTTTTCAATGGGTAAGAATGACAGACATACTGCAATTTGTGATTTGTAATTATATGGAATGTTGATATGATATTTGTGGAATCCAGGCTTGTAGACATTCTGGTGACAGTGATGGGTGATGTTTTTCCAGAGGTACAACAACATGAAGCACATATAAGGGAGGTAATCAAAGAGGAGGAAGAAACTTTTGAGAAGACTTTACAGAAGGTATGAATGTACATTATGAATTTTTGTATAGGCATTTCTTTTCTTTGTTGCAAAGTTCAATATTTTGTGGTTCTTTTGATTGCATTAAAATGAATTTTCTATTCATGAGACGTTCTTTTCTTTTTTCATTATATGTACACAC